GCCTTAATAGACTGTGGACACAAGTTCTTTTAGGCTTTGGCTAGTTGCATTGTGGCGTATTTCTGGGTAAAACATGAGCTCTAGATCAAGGGGCTATTTTGGGCACCTTTCTCGTTAGTGAAAACTACATCCGTTCATTGATATTTCGTTTGATTTTTCCATTTAAGAAAATCACCAATTATTTGGGTTGTAATTTAGAATGATAATCATCTAGCGAAAATGAGGAAAAATGACAGTTCGTTTTATAGTAATTTAGGAAATTTCTCAATAAAAAAGTGCAAAGTTGTAATATTATAGGGCATCCATAGAGGAGTTAAACACAATATTTAATGAATTAGTCAATTTATATCCCGCGGAAGGATGGATTACAGCTGTTAAACTGCAATGTATAGCAAGACATCAAGAATGGAAACAAATGAATTATCCTGCAGCTGTGTCAACGTATAATCAAGCACTACAGATTTGGTTTGAATATGTAGAAGACAAAGAATTAAATTGTTCCTTTGATATAGCTGAAACTTATGCAAGCATTGGTTACTGTTACCGTGATGTCATAAATGATTTGACACAGGCTACGAAACATTTTGATTTAGCTATTGAATATTATCAGTTTGGACTCAGTGATGAAGCAGCTACAGATCACGAGAAGATGACGATATTAGATAAGCTAATTACTTTTTATAAAAACAAGATGGAAACTGTAATAAATGCTGATGATAAAGTTGAAAAAGTTCGAGGCGCCGTGCTGGCAATTCAGTACCAGGAATTAGCTCTGGAATATATGCTGAAGTATCATTCCTCGACTGACATCGAAATTGGTAGTCTTACCAGAAGATTAGCCGATTTCTATAACTTTGCATCTAAATATGATGATGCCTTAATGAATTATCAAAAAGCTTTACGAATCTACATGGAGCAATATGAAGCGGATTCAATGTGGATTTCTTCTATATGCTCAAGCTTGGTAGAACTTTTCATTTCACATAAACATGATTATGATTCGGCACTTCGATATCAAATAATAGGGCATACTCATACATTACAAGAAAATCTTTTAAAACCAACAGATATCGTATATCAAATCCATTGGAAAAAGGAAAATATAGGTAAGAGTCACGAAACGCTCGCAGACATTTATACTGGATTAAATGAATACGACAAAGCTAGCGAACATTTTCTAAAAGCAATCGAATTATATCAAGACGTAGACATAAAATGGAAACAATGTAACATCACAAATATCCAGCGCATTGAGGAGAAAGTGAAGCATGTCTCAACTTGACGGTTTATCTCAGTTATCTTTCTTTTTCCTTGATAATAGTTAAACTAACATAAGAAGTAATGCACACGGCTTGTCCACGTAACGCGACACTTCGCTGATCAAGTTAATAAAAAAAATTTGAATACATCACTAGATGTAATTTTTAATTCTAAGAACCCGTTTAAAACGCTTTTCGATAAAAGTTGGTTTTTGAGTCTCAAAACCGGTTTTTGAACATTTCAAAAATCGGATTTTCTATTTTTAGCCGAAAAAATTTTCGAATAATAAATTTCTAAAATGAAAAGACTTACAATAGGTTGAGCAAGAAAATACAAAGAACATGAATAGTTCAGTTCTTCAGTCTTTTACTTCGAAATATTGCATTTTTAGCGGAGAAGGCACTGAAAACAAAAGATTAATAAAACTACAAAAAATTTTTCAGACTGAAAATTGTTAAATATTTTCATATACGAGGAGTGCTCCTTTATACCATGAGACCTTTTTCATCTTGTTTTTCAGCACACGTAGAAGAGTAATATTAATAGTCAAATTCACTGAATATATCGAACGTCTTTTGCATTTTCAATACAATATGAAATCATATCCAGAAATAATTAAAGTATATCTAAGATTTTTGTCCTAACGATCGGTGTGAAAATTAGATTTCTTTTAGAACATAATCAATTTTACAGGTATACATCTGTTAAAATATGACACAGAATTAGAACTACCAGTTGATATTACCGATCTAGGCGATCTTAAAGCTGCTTTGTATGTGTTGTTAAATACAAAAAAGTAATTCTAGAAGTCATTGGTTTTTGCTTTGTTTTTCTAAACTTTTGCGGTTCCTGATTTTTGTCGTACTGAATATTTTGGCATATTCCTTGTTGCTAGTATTGATATGGGATGTATGACCATTTTGTTGGTATGACCTTATAAAATCTGGTTCTACAGATAGACAGGATAAGAATATGCGTAATGACTTTTTTACAATGATTGTCTGCTGAAGATCAATACGTATTGTAGTCAGAAAGGACTTCTAAAACTTATATTTTGAACGAAACAGCATTGCTTTATTTTGTTTAGCGTTGATTAGGGAAGATCTATTTCCATCTTATGTACTAGTTTCAAGTT